ACGAATAGGGGCGGATCGAACCGCGCATATGTTCGCCTGCCGTGGCGAACGCAAACATGCTATATTCGCCAGGAACTATTCGCCAGCGAACCGTTCGGTGCATCACTAATGCTAGGATGTATTTAAACTAGGAGGGGGGGGGGCAAGAGGGTGATAAAACATCATTCCAATTGTCCCCCAAAACAAGGACAGAAGGTGCCTGTAGCAAGTGTGTTAAAAAATGATAAGCTTAGAGTCATGTTTACAAATGCTTGCAGTTTAGGGAATAAGATCCATGAACTTGTTGCAAAAATGGCAAGTGATAGTGTAGATTTAGTCGCTGCTACTGAGACATGGTATAATGAGAAAAATGACTGGGACATAGCAATACCAGGGTACTCTTTATATAGGAAAGATAGGGAAGGCAAGAAAGGGGGAGGGGTGGCCTTGTATGTGAAGGATAGCATAAAATCTAGCCTAATAAAAGTTAGTGAGGCAAAGATAGAGTCCGTTTGGGTTATGTTAGAATTTGGTAATCACACAGTAACTCGTGTAGGTGTGATTTATAGGCCCCCAGGACAAATTGAAGAGTTAGATAATCTACTAGTTGTGGAAATAGCTAAAATGACAATGAAGGGGGAAGTTATCATCATGGGTGACTTTAATCTTCCTGATGTAAATTGGAAAACAAAATTAGCTACTTGTGCCAGGAGCACACATATTCTAAACTCCCTACTGGGATTGTCTCTAAAACAAGTTGTTGAGGAGCCAACTCATAAAGAGGCCATAATAGATTTAGTGTTAACAAATGGAGATTTGGTATCAGATATTATTGTACGTGAAAGTTTAGGATCCAGTGATCATCAGTCAGTGTGGTTTAATATAAGAACAGTGACTGAGTCACACCACACAAAAACAAAAGTTTTAGACTTTTCTAAAATTAGAATATGGGTAGAGGAGTCATTATCAGACTGGAGCAATTTAAATGGAGTCCAAGAGAAATGGGATTATTTAAAAGTTGCACTATTGAAGGCAACAGAAAATTGCATTAGGCTTGTCAGTAAAATCAAAAAATTCAAGAAACCACTGTGGTACTCCACAGATGTGGCCAAAATAGTTAAAAACAAAAAGTTAGCATTTAGGAATTATAAAAAAACCCAGAGTGAGGAAGACAAAATGATTTATAAGATTAGGCAGAAAGAGGCTAAGCAAGTTATAAGAGCTTCCAAATCACACACAGAAGAGAAAATAGCACAGTCAGTAAAAAAAGGGGAGAAAACTTTTTTTAGATACATAAATGAGAAAAGAAAAGTAAAACAAGTATTAGTTAGATTAAAAACAAAAGAAGGATGGTATGTAGAAGAGGATAAAGGTCTAGCTGACTGCCTCAATGAATATTTTTGTTCTCTATTTACAGATGAAAATGAAGGAAAGGGACCTCAGTTGAGAAAAAGGATAAATGAGTCATTTATTACATGTGAGTTTACAGAGGAAGAGGTTCTATTTCAACAGTTTGTTATTGTAAATAGTTATACACTTTTGGTTTACATTGTTCAGGATAAGAAAGTGAGCTATTCCTTGTGGAAAGTCAGTGACTTCAATTCACCTGACTTCCCTGACTGAAAAGACATAATATAGTCAAACAACTACAGATAATCTCATATCATGTTAAAGGTCTTAATTCGCCAGAAAAAAGACACATGGCAATAAGGGATTTTCATAAAATGAAGGCGGACACTGTATTTTTACAAGAGACCCATTTTAGAGGCAAGGAAGCTCCAAAATTACAGCTTAAGCAATTCCCATTGAGTTTCTATAATAACTTCGGTCTTAGGAAATCTAGAGGAGTGGCAATTCTGAGCCCAAGTCCCTTTCACTTTGACGCAACAGATATCTGACGACTCGGGACGATATATCATTCTAAAAAAAAACAGAGTGAGGAAGACAGAATGATCTATAAGATTAGGCAGAAAGAGGCTAAGCAAGTTATAAGAGCTTCCAAATCACACACAGAAGAGAAAATAGCACAGTCAGTAAAAAAGTGGGGAAAAACTTTTTTTAGATACATAAATTAGAAAAGAAAAGTAAAACAAGGATTAGTTAGATTAAAAACAAAAGAAGGAAGATATGTAGAAGAGGATAAAGGTCTAGCTGACTGCCTCAATTAATATTTTTGTTCGGTATGGTATTTACAAATGAAAAGGACCTCAGTTAAGAAAAATGATAAATGAGTCATTTATTACACGTGAGTTTACAGAGGAAGAGGTTCTATTTCAACTGTCAAAAGTAAAGACAAATAAGTCAATGGGACCTGATGGAATACACCCAAAGCTATTAAAAAGAGCTTAGTGGTGTACTAGCAAAACCATTAACAGATTTATTTAACCAATCATTGTTAACAGGAGTAGTCCCAGAAGATTGTAAGTTAGCGAATGTTGTGCCCATTTACAAGAAAGATAATAGGGAGGAGTCGGGCAACTATAGGCCAGTAAGCCTTACTTCAGTAGTGGGGAAAGTGATGGAAACCATGTTAAAGGATAGGATTGATGAACATCTAAAAACACATGGATTTCAAGATCAGAGACAACATGGGTTTACTTCAGGGAGATCATGCCAAACTAATCTTATTTTTTTTTTTTCAAATTTATGTTTTATTGTTTTAGTCAAAGTGGTTCGGGATTCAGAAAAGAAGATAGGAGGGTTAGTTAGACAGGTGTCACTCTCCATGTGACATTAATGGTTACGTAACATTGTATTACAGGCATGTGTGGGATATTTGTTTCATTGTGACATTAACGGTTATGCGACATCATAATACAAATACGTGTTAAACATTGTCGCATTAACGTTCATGAGATAGCATAATACAGTTTCGTGTGAGACATTCAGTTCATCGTCACCTGCACTATGGGTTGTCAGTGGCGTGAGAGAGCATTAGTTGTCTTATAGCTTCTCCCTTCTTCTCAAGGTTCTGGGTGGCATGAGCCTGGTGGGGAGCCGAGAACCTGGGAGGGGAGCCAAAGGTGACGAAGGGGGGGAGGCTATGGGTGGGTGGCGGGGTGGGGTGGGGTAGAGAAGGGGAGAGGTGCGTGAGTAATACCTGTGTTATTTGGTGTCCTGACTTGGGGTCAGTATTATGGTGGGGGGAAAGGATAATCCGGGTTATGTTCCTAGTCAGTGCTCTTGGCAGTGTTTGCCATTGTTTGTGCCCTTTCTTTTGTCTGTCCAAACTCTTTTTCCCATTTACCCCAAGTAGCCTCAAATTGTATTATTTTTTTCGCGGATGTAATTGCCATTCTCTCATATATATGAAATTGCTCTACTTTATCCGTCAACTGTGGCAAAGAAGGGCAGTCTTGGGATTTCCAATTAAGTGCTAGGAGATTTATTGATGCCAGTAAGACTAGCGTTATGATTTGAACTGACGGCATCCATTTGCCTACTGCTACTGCTCCCTGCAGGCCTAAACCCAGGCCAAAAACAAATCTTATTGATTTTTTTGATTGGGTAACTAAAATCATAGATCAGGGTGGTGCAGTAGACATTGCTTACCTAGATTTCAGTAAGGCTTTTGACACTGTTGCACATAGAAGGCTTATCAATAAACTGCAATCTTTAAGTTTGGATTCAAATATTGTTGAATGGGTAAGGCAGTGGCTGAGTGACAGGCAACAGAGGGTTGTAGTTAACGGAATATATTTGAAGCTTGGACTTGTCACCAGTGGGGTACCTCAGGGATCTGTACTTGGCCCCATTCTCTTTAATATTTTTATTAGTGATATTGCAGAAGGTCTTGATGGTAAGGTATGTCTTTTTGCTGATGATACTAAGATATGTAACAGGGTTGATGTTCCAGGAGGATAAGCCAAATGACAAATGATTTAGGTAAACTAGAAAAATGGTCAGAATTGTGGCAACTGACATTTAATGTGGATAAGTGCAAGATAATGCATCTTGGACGTAAAAACCCAAGGGCAGAGTACAGAATATTTGATAGAGTCCTAACCTCAACATATGAGGAAATTTTTCTTTTTTTCATATATATATATATATATATATATATATATATATATATATATATATATATATATATATATATATATATATATATATATATATATATATATAAATTCTAATTATATATATTTATATTATATAAAACAATAAATATGTAAATACATTAAAAATTAAAAAGAAATAAAAGATATATGTGTGTAATTTCGTTGTAACTGTATTTTGATATCAATCTCTCTCTCTCTCTCTATATATATATAAATATATATACAGAGAGAGAGAGAGAGATATTGATATCAAAATACACGTAGAACAAAATAATATATATACCTATATAAACATAAAAATAATGTAAAAAAATTATATATAAATGTATATACATATACATACAGTTGCAAGAAAAAGTATGTGAACCCTTTGGAATGATATGGATTTCTGCACAAATTGGTCATAAAATGTGATCTGATCATCATCTAAGTCACAACAATAGACAATCACAGTCTGCTTAAACTAATAACACACAAAGAATGAAATGCTGCCATGTTTTTATTGTCAAAACAACAGCACATGGAGAGACAAAATAGTATAAGAACAGCCAGGTGCAAACCATATAAACACTCCCTCAATTGCTCTAAATATTCAAATGATAAAGGCAGCCAGTTGATGCCGAAACTTTGGGGGGTTTGGTGACTCGTGTTTCTGTCTTGAGGCTTGTAAGAATTTTTGTGGTAATTTATTATTATTTTATTGTATTTGCCCTTGCTTCTGTCACTTAGTTTATTTTTTCTTATATGTTTTCACTCTGGTACTTTTTTGTACATAATAAAGCATACTGAAGCTAAGTTTTTTTGAGATTGTTATAGTGTGCATTCTATATTCTATAGCCATGTTTTTATTGAACACACCATGTAAACATTCACAGTGCAGGTGGAAAAAGTATGTGAACCCTTGGATTTAATAACTGGTTGAACCTCCTTTTGGCAGCAATAACTTCAACCAAATGTTTCCTGTAGTTGCAGATCAGATGTGCACAACGGTCAGGAGTAATTCTTGACCATTCCTCTTTACAGAACTGTTTCAGTTCAGCAATATTCTTGGGATGTCTGGTGTGAATCGCTTTCTTGAGGTCATGCCACAGCATCTCATTTGGGTTGAGGTCAGGACTCTGACTGGGCCACTTCAGAAGGCGTATTTTCTTCTGTTTAAGCCATTCTGTTGTTGATTTACTTCTATGCTTTGGGTCATTGTCCTGACATTGTCCTGTTGCAACATCCATCTTCTGTTGAGCTTCAGCTGGTAGACAGATGGCCTTAAGTTCTCCCGCAAAATGTCTTGATAAACTTGGGAATTCATTTTTCCTTCGATGATAGCAATCTGTCCAGGCCCTGACGCAGCAAAGCAGCCCCAAACCATGATGCCCCTACCACCATACTTCACAGTTGGGAGGAGGTTTTGATGTTAGTGTGCTTTGCCATTTTTTCGCCACACATAGTGTTGTGTGTTTCTTCCAAACAACTCAACTTTGGTTTCATCTGTCCACAGAATATTTTGCTAGTACTGCTGTGGAACATCCAGGTGCTCTTGTGCAAACTGTAAACGTGCAGCAATGTTTTGTTGGACAGCAGAGGCTTCCTCTGTGGTATCCTTCCATGAAATCCATTCTTGTTTAGTGTTTTACGTATTGTAGATTCGCTAACAGGGATGTTAGTATTTGCCAGTGACTTTTGTAAGTCTTTAGCTGACACTCTAGGATTCTTCTTCACCTCATTGAGCAGTCTGAGCTGTGCTCTTGCAGTCATCTTTACAGGACGGCCACTCCTAGGGAGAGTAGTAGCTGTACTGAACTTTCTCCATTTATAGACAATTTGTCTTACCGTGGACTGATGAACAGCAAGGCTTTTGGAGATACTTTTATAACCCTTTCCAGCTTTATGCAAGTCAACAATTCTTAATTCGTAGGTCTTCTGAGAGCTCTTTTGTGCGAGGCATCATTCACATCAGGCAATGCATCTTGTGAAAAGCAAACCCAGAACTGGTGTGTGTTTTTTATAGGGCAGGGCAGCTATAACCAACTCCTCCAATCTCAACTCATTGATTGGACTCCAGTTGACTGACATCTTACTCCAATTAGCTCTTGGAGATGTCATTAGTCTAGGGGTTCACATACTTTTTCCACCTGCACTGTGAATGTTTACATGGTGTGTTCAATAAAAACATGGAAACATTTCATTCTTTGTGTGTTATTAGTTTAAGCAGACTGTGATTGTCTATTGGTGGGACTTAGATGATGATCAGATCACATTTTATGACCAATTTGTGCAGAAATCCATATCATTCCAAAGGGTTCACATACTTTTTTTTGCAACTGTATATGTATATATTTACATATAATTTTTTCTTACATGATTTTTATACATATGTGTATATGTATATATATATATATATATATATAAAAATTCTACATATATATTTATGTAATAATTTTACATAATTAGGTCATTTTATTAATTACAATTTGCGGGACCTGTCTGACAACGCAGTCCGAAAGTATAGGGAATTTAATTTGCTAGCACTATATTTAACCCTATAACTTTCCAAGACACCATAAAACCTGTACATGGGAGGTACTGTTCTACTCATTGCAAATGGGGTATGTCCATTCTTTTTTAGCAGCCACTTAGTCACAAACACTGGCCAAAATTGGCATTCAAATTAGTTTTTTGCATTTTTCACACACAAACAAAAATTATCACTAAATTTGGCTAGTGTTTATAACCAAGTGGCTACTAAAAAGACTGGATATACCCCATTTGCAATACCTTGGGTAGTCTACTATTGCAAATGGTATGCCATCATGAGGGTAATTCTCATTCCTAGGCTACCATACGGTCACAAAGGCAATGTAACCAATCTGGCGAATTTCAATGTGAAAAAACTGAAAAATGTAACATGCTATATTTGACTCTGTAACTTCCCAAAACACCATAAAACCTGCACATAGGGGGTACTGTATTAAACGTGAGACATCGCTGAATACAAATATGTCTATTTTATTGCAGTAAAAGCAAACAGTATTATGACATTCACAGTTAAAATGTCACATAGAACTAATTTTTTTTAAATAAATCTTATTTTCTCCCATTTGTTTTATATTTTATTCATATTAAATTATGTTTCATAGCTAAACAGTTGATGTTAAAGGAAAGCCCTGTTTCCGCTAAATAAAATTATATATAATAAGTGTGGGTGCATCTAATATGAAAGAGGTGAATTACGGTTGAATATAGCGCAAATGCAAGGTTTTGTTTACGTTTTGATCACAACGTGTACATTTGGCTCAGTCCTTGAGAGGTTAATCATCATCTTAAACCAGTCTTAGAGGTAATGCACCAAGTGAGGTTTTTGTTTACACCATCACCTCCCTTCCCAATATTATTAGTCAACCAAGTGCTAGTCTAGAAGGTAGAGTTGCCTCAGCTTCCAAAGATGCAAATCCATATGTATCTTTATCAGCCAGAAGGCCAAGTGTTGAAGCTAACAGAGTTTGGCATTACTTTGACCGTTTCCCAGATAAGGAAATTGCAAAGTGTAAATTGCAGCCTCTGGTATTAATTGATACCCGACTCTCCTGGAGCAATCATTGCAGCCAACAGGGATTTAAATAATTCAACTCATGTAGAACACCACATACAGCTCTCATCTGCCAGTCTAGAGCCATTAAAAATGTCATCATCTGACAAAGAAATGGATTTCAGTGAGATCATACCAAAAAGTTAGGATGTTCCATTCCATATTAACAGCATTAATGAGGAGGATGGCATGGGACATCTTAATATCATAAAGTGGTTAAAATTATAATAACCAGTAAGAATGATTCTTTGTTTACAAATGATGATTTAAATTGAGTGTCACCAAGCAGTGATTTAAATCTCTTTGATTTAAATCAAAACCAACCTGCTTTAATCCCTTACTTGTTTAATTACTGAATAGAAAACAATATAGATTTTAGAAGCAAATGATTTCTTATTCTATATATTGAATAATGGACAGCATTAAATAGAATAATTAATAATTTTCCTCATTTACTGCATTGGTAATATAGCACTACTAGTGCGAATATCAAGTTGCACATGGTTAGTAAGACATACTTAAAGGGACACTATGGTCACCAGAACAACTACAGCTTATTGTATTTGTTCTGGTGAGTATAATCAGTTTCTTCAGGCTTTTGCAGTAAACACTGTCTTTTCAGAGAAAAGACAAGCATTTACATTACAGCCTAGTGATAACTCCAGTGGCCACTCATCAGGCTACTATAGGTGCCTTTTGGGGCATTGCTGCACACTGTGCAGAACTGACATTCAGTGTCTCCACCTTCTGCATGGAGACACTGAACGTTCATCATAGAGATGCATTGATATGCTGATTGGCCAGATCTGTGTTTGGCTTGTGCTGGCTCTGCCCCTGATCTGCCTCATTGACATTTTTAGCCAATCCAATGCTTTCCTTTGGGAAATCATTGTACTTGGCTTAGAACACCACTTCGGATTATGTTAACCAAGACGGCAGATCAGGGGCAGAGCCAGCAGCAGCAGACTGGAATAAAGGTAAGATGTCACTACACTTAGGAGGGCTAGGTGGGGGAGAGTGGGTAGATGGGCTAGATAGTGTTTTTGCACTATGGGTCAGGATTACAAGACATATTTCATTAAATCCCTAAACCCTGTGAACATCATTTACATGTATATCTTGTGAAAAGGTTTACATTTAAAAACTATTGCGCTGGGATGTATAGGGACTTAATTTACTGGTTTATCATGAGGTAGACTCTTCTCTGCACTATGTTCGCTAATGTCTTGAGTGTGATGGGAATGCATGGGAACAGAGCTCCCAAACCTAACTCTACTGAGCAAGACTGCTGGGTAGTGCCTGAACTGTGTGTATGGATTATAGCAGTGCAGACACCAGACAGCTCAGGAGAACTATAGTTCCTACAGACTCACAGTTATTTGTGAGAAAATAAAAGAACTGATAATGCTAATGCACATTTCTCCCTTCCACTATGCTGCAGGATCTTACAAGGACTGGTACAATAAAATGAGTAATGTAACACCGAAGAATCATTCATCTTAAAGGACCAGCAGCATTTAATCTTCACATATAGATGGCCACAACATTATAGAGAAAACAAATCAGTGTGTAGTAGAATTCATGACTGTCTGGGCTCTTAGTCCATGTGTTCTAAGTCCAGTCCTAAAGCTGCAATAGTCATTTGGTACCTGAGTCCAATAGTCGGCATATAAACATGTTCCAGCTTAAAATAAAATCTGCATTTTTCTTATAAGTAAACTATTTTTTTTTTATTTGATATATATATATACTTACTGTTTGTGCAATGTTTGATTACTTAATGTATTGAAATATATAACTTGTAACAATTACTCTTACTACTCGCTGTATTACATTTTTGAATATTTCAACAAACCTTTAATTGATTAAACACAATTTACATTCCCTGCTTTATTGTAATTTTTTATTAAAATGTCTCGGGCTCTATAGTCACCAGAACAACTATAGCTTATTGAATTTGTTCTGGTGAGTAGAATTATTCTCCTCAGGCTTTTTGCTGTAAATACTGTCTTTACAGAAAAAAAGCAGTGTTTACATTACAGCCTAGTGATAACTTCACTGACCACTCCTCAGATGGCTGTTAGAGATCCTTCCTGTGTCATCCAAACATTCAGTATCTCCTCCATCTGCATGCAGACACTGAACTTTCCTCATAGAGATTCATCTCTATGATGAGATGCTGATTGGCCAGGGCTGTGTTTGAATTGTGCTGGCTCTTCCCCGGATCTGTTTCTTTGTCAGTCTCAGCCAATGAACAGGATCAGGCTACCACTTCTGATGTCAGCACACTGCTTGTTTTTCTGAGTCTAACAGCATGCAGAGTTACAGCTTCAAGCTTGAATACAGTAATATTTTTACTATATTTATTAAGGCATGAGCGGCCTAGGGGGACTAGATGGTGGTTTTAACACTATAGGGTCAGGAATATGTGTTTGTGTTCCTGACCCTATAGTGATCCTTTAACTTGACTCCAGAAGTCTTGGGAATGTGTGCATATAAAATGTATATGATGATCACAATTGTCTATAACTGTATGAAGTAACTATTTTACATTTGTATAATGTTTTAACGTCTTATAA